AAAAAACTTTCTTGAAATTAACCATATCGATTCACCTTATGTATATCAATCTTCAAAACACAGTTCAGATTCTCAATCTATTTCATCGTATTATTGAGGTATTTTGAGAGATTCATATTCCCCTAATTTTTTCTTGACCTTCAAAAATATAGTGATTTGTTCTTGACCTACAATGATTTATGTAATTTTTCGTCTCTCACATTGTTGATTTAAGGAAATTAAACTTTGACTATCACATTCGAGTTTTATGATGCATTGGATATTGTAGAGAGAGAAAAAAATACAAGAAAGAGAGAGAGAGAGGCATGTATATCAATCTTCAAAACACAGTTCAGATTCTCAATCTATTTCATCGTATTATTGAGGTATTTTGAGAGATTCATATTCCTCTAATTTTTTCTTGACCTTCAAAAATATAGTGATTTGTTCTTGACCTACAATGATTTATGTAATTTTTCGTCTCTCACATTGTTGATTTATGGAAATTAAACTTTGACTATCACATTCGAGTTTTATAGTGCATTGGATATTGTAGAGAGAGAAAAAAAAGACAAGAAAGAGAGAGGCATGTGATTTATTTCTATTTTTTATTGACAAAATTAGAAAACATAATTAAAAAATAAAGTGAAAAAGAAATTAAAAGGGTAAAATAGAAATTTCTAGTTTTTAGGGACCAAATTCATAATAAAACTAGCTGAAAAGGACCATATATGCAATTTTTAAAAGGTTTGGACTTTATTCATAGAAAATGACAAACCACGTGGACCACTTTTGCAATTTTGTCTTTTCTAAATTTCTAAATTGAGACTCACCCCTAAGGATGAGCATATAGACCGATCGGAACTGATCCCAAAAGCGGAATTGGAACCCGATGGAACCGGTTGGGCCGGAACCGATACTATAATTTCGTCAATTTTTTGAACCGAGACCCGGTAAGAACCGGTCGTTGGAACCGACCCAAAACCGAGAATCGAACTGGATAACTCACTAAAATTTTAAAAGTTGCATAACTCACTCAATTTAACTATTTTTGACCCGAATCTTTTTCCTACATTTAGATTATGATTTGTAGCTAAGTTTAGACTATAAAAACGTTTGATTTTCTTAAAAACTGAATGAGTTACAAGTCGCACAAGGAAGGGTGTCAAATCAGAAATTTTTTTTATGTTTCAGCAATTAAATGTAATATGACTTTGTTGTTCAAATGTGCATAACTCACTCAATTTAACTTTTTTTTTACGTGAATATTTTTCCTACATGTAGATTAGGATTTGTAATTAAGTTTAGACTATAAAAACGATCGATTTGTTTAAAAATTAAATGAGTTACAAGCCGCGCAAGGAAGTGTGTCAACTGTCAAATCAATTTTTTTTTATGTTACAACAATTAAACGTAATCTTGTTGTTCGAATATGCATAACTCACTCAATTTAAGTTTTTTTTACCTGAATCTTTTTCCTACACGTATTTTAGGTTTTGTAGTTAAGTTTAGATTATATAAACACTTGATTTGGTTAAAAATTGAATGAGTTACAAGCCCCACAATGAAGCATGTCAAATCAGACCGGTTCCAAAATCAAAAACCCGGCAAAAACTGGACTCGGAACTGGAACCTGTAGAACAGTCGGGTTGGTTCGGTTCTTATTTTGGCCGAAGTCGGTTTCTGGGTCGGGTCGGTTCTGACCGGTTCGGTCCATTTTCTCATGCCTACTCACCCCTATGCTTCATCATTTTATTAGTTATACTTTAACCCTATGATTCCACTTTATATTCTATATAGTCCAAGCTAAGAACTATCATACATAAATTTTAAGACAAAACTGCAAAAATGGTCCCTATGGTATGCATTTTTCTGAGGTTTAGTCCAAACCTCGACTTTTTTTTGGCTTTCTAGTCCTTTTGAGCTAGTTTTATTACAGATTTTTTTCCCTCAGTAAACTAAAATGACTTTAATACGCTTGGGGTATTTATTTTTTATTTTTCTTTCATTTTTTAAAATCTAATACTTATTTAAAATTTTAAAAAATAAGAGGCTCTCTCTCTCTCTTTCTCTCTTTCTCTCTCTCTCTCTCACTCACTCACACTCTCTCTCTCTCTCTCCTATACCCACTTTTATTTACTATCATTTCTTCGATCACTGATCAAATGGATTTAACTTCATAGCCACCTTCCTACGCATCTCATTGGACCTCTTCCTATCAACACCAGAAACCACCATTTTTACCATTCCTTATTCTGCCATTTGCAATCTCTCAATCCTTTCTTACATGACCAAACACCTCCTCGCCTACCACATCTCGCTGGAAAAACTAACACTCCAAGATCTGTTTAAAAAAAAACCCATAAAAGCCTGCTCATTAACCTTGATTCAACACCAGAAAGTTTCAATCACGAAGAACGATAACAAACATCATGTTCTTGAAGTCAACAACGTGTCGATTACTCACCCAAAATTGTTACTTCAAGGACCCATCATTCATGGCGTTGCAGGTTTGTTTGCTTCCTTCCATCTTAACCAAGAAAGTACAACATTACCGGCGTGTGAATCTTGTGGTGGTGATGGTAGTGGTTGTGGATTTATCAAGAACAAGGAAGAATGGGGGAGTGGTGAAATTTCTAAGCTCATCCAGATTCATGTCATTTGCCATTGGATTAAACTCAATGATTCAAGGGATTCTCAAAGATTTTCCATATTTGGGTTTAGTGTCAACTAAACTCAGTGATGCAGAACCACACAAACAAGGTCGAGGGTTCGATGGTCACGAGATGGGATCGAACTACAAATCAAATTACACAGAATATGAGGTGATCTGGTGAATCATAACCACAAGGATCCATTCTTTCTTGGGGACAGGGCAGACTCACACAAACAACGATGAAGAAGAGGAAGGGTACAAAGCTCCAGACAAAGTAATCGACTTGTGAACGACATGATCCAGAAACAAGGGTGTTCTTCATCACCATCTTCATCTTCTAGGGTCCATAATGACGAATTTAAATGAGAAATTATGGTGGGGAAGAGTAAGGTGGGAGGTGAGTCCATACAAGGTCAGTCCAAACGTATATGGGGCCCGGGGCGAAAAGAAAAAAAAACCCTTAAAGACAAATATAATAAAGATAAAAAAAAATTCATTTATTTTTCACTATAAGTGCGTTCAATTAGCAAATAACAAGCAAACCAAATTGTTTATGTTTTGGGCTAGTTTGAGTTTGAACCAACTTTAGACTCTAAAAATCATTTAGATAATAATTTTTTATATATATACACTACATAGCCCAAAAAAATTTGAGCCCCCTGCAGACGTAGGCACTGACGGTCTCCCGGGTTGCCCACCGTCTGGACCGGCCCTAGGTCCAGATCCAGTACATCGACGACATTGACGGAGGGAGATCAAGGTCGATTTTCTCCAGGACACTAACGACGACACTAAGCGAGATAATGGGATGTCGTTGTCGCAAAATATGGTGACGAGGAGGATTACAGAAAGAGAATGAGATGAAGATAGTTGAGAAAAAGAAAAATCTGCATTGGTTCATCAGTTTGAGAAACCATGGAAATCAGATCCACAACTCAAGAACATGTGAAATCTTTTACCCCAGTTTCAGATTTGTAAATAGATTTCCAGATGAATATGTTTTTTCATCTAGCTTTTTGGAGAGATTTTGGTTTGTCTTTGGAAGGATTAATCTGATTTATGTATCGTTTGCATTTGAATATCAGAGGTTAAGAACATGTCTTTGGCGTAATGAACATGTAATGTGTCTTGAAAATTTGTGTATGTATGAGAGAGAGAGAGAGAGAGAGAGAAGGTGGCCCCCTTCTTATTTTTTTAATTATTAAAATAAATAAATTAGTATTATATTTAAAAATAAATGAAAGAAAAAATGGAAATAAATACCCCAATGATATTATAGTCATTTCATTACTTAGATGACAAAAAAAACGCAACAAAACTAACTCAAAATGACCATAAAGCCAGAAAGATCGAAATTTAGACTAAACCTCGAAAAATATGCATACTAGAAGGACTATTTTTGAAATTTTGTCAAAATTTAATGGAAAAAACCACAAAACAACCATTTTTTTTCAAAGTTGTAGAAATTAGGATTAATCATTTTTTTTCAAAGTTGTAGAAATTAGGATTAATCTTGGATTAATCGTTTTACATTCTCCAACCGTCTAGGATTAGGGGTGCCTGACGAAAATTATGGATTAATTGGTCTTGGCGGGATTAATCGGTCAACAAATGTAAAAGAAAAAAAAGTCAAAAAATCAACTTTTATTTTTTACTCCAAAATTTTCAAATTTTCAAAATTTCTAATATTATACCAACATGTTCATATTTTCGTATTTTCGAAATTTTCAAATTACAAATTTTCTTATTTCCTAATTTTGAAGTACTTGTTTAATCTTTAATTAATTTTAATATTTTATTAAAATCTATCATCTCCGATTAATCTCCGCCAAGACCGATTAATCTCTTAACCACAATCAACCGTCAACCTACCGTCGAACGATTGTTACAACCTTGTTTTTTTTGTTTTTTTTTTTTATAAAAATAACCATTTTTTACTTATTACTCATAACAATCATGTTTTTTTGGCTATTGCAGCATTTTATGCGCAAAATAGGTTTTCAAAATGTTACCGCTACAAAAAGAAACTTTAAAAAAAAAAAAAAAAAAAAAAAAAAAAAAAAAATCATACATTTTTCAATGAACAATTTAATAATATATAAATGTGTATGTTCAAAGTTCAAAATATATGAATATTTCTAAAAGAGAAATAAGATTTGTTTGTTGGGGGACATTTATATAGCCATCTCGCAGCATAGTGATTTCTCACTAGTCATCACAAAATATTTAATTATATTGTGTAACAAGTAAAAAATATGGTTATTTTGTTAAATGCCTCAATCCAATTTTTGTAATTTTTTCAAAATACATTTTGGAAAAAAGTATTTTCTTCATAATGTTGCAACATACTTGTCGATTTGGCATACAGGATTATAGTAAATTGATGCTTATAAAGTTATAATGAAGCTAATCATTTAGAATCTAACCTAAGCTTTCAAGAATTAACAATTAATTAATACATAAAATTTATTTCATCAAACAACAAAATTTTCCAAACAAAATTAATACAAACAAAAAAAGTGTCATACACTGATCTGAACTTCAGTTCTTGTGTTGTATTACTGGCATTGTATTTCGGGTTGCCAATGGCTTCCCCAATATATTTAATGCTTGCATTCGTTGCATTTCTTGTCCTTCAAATCAGAAAATAAAGAAAGGAAAAAAGATTACATAATCATTTATATTTATAGTCATAAACTAATGATAATTACAGATTATGAGATTATCGTCAACATTGATTTTCGTACCTTCTTCAATGGTGAGCTGAATTGCTCTTTTTTCTAACTCAACTGCGTGTCTGCTAAGTTCCAATGGAGATAATCGCAAGAGCACTGTAAGATCACAGCAATCATAAGTCAAAACCTGATTTTCAGCACAAAAAGAATTTAGATTCAACTTACATTGAATATTCTCTCTATGATTAGATCCATCACATTGCTTGATGAAATTCTGCAGACGAATGAATCTTTCTGTCATCTGATCATCATCATTGGAAACTTTAAACCGAGGAACAGATGTCTTTGAAGCGATGTAACTTGGATGCGTATTCTTCCCATTTAACTGGCTTACTTTCCTGCGAGGGTAATTGTAATGTTCATGTGTACTGTTATTGTTCAAGAGAGAAGATGAAGAGTAGTCTGGTGTATGCCTTTTGATTCCAGATATTTTAGCTGAATCCATGAACGATTGTCCCTCAACTGGAAGCAAAATTGCGGGATTTGTGTCGCGATTTAAGTTACTATTATCTCTCAGTGCGACTTTTTTGGCTGCTAAAATCGGCTGTTTATGGAATGCGGTTGCGCCGGTTACATCGATCGTGTTAATCTCGGAATTAATCATTTTGATTGTTCTGTGATGAAATTCTACACAAATTCGTTTAATCTGACCTGCGGAGAAGATGAAATCCATCAATGAAAAACAAAAGTAATCAATTACTAATCATTTCCATCGATTAATGCGAATTATAATTGGGGGCGATGAGTTAATTTTGAATGAATTTCACTCATGGAATATTGCCCTAAACATCGAACAGAAAATTATCACGATTCATAAATGTACAAATCCAAGAACAATGAGAGATAAAAACAAGCTTCGAATCACATTCAGATCCAAGTAAATTAGGAACTAATTTATCTGAGAATCGAGTTTACACAATTGTAAGTAAAAAGAGGCGAAATTTTCGAGTTGAAGAAAATCAAATCCCTATTTACAAGAAGATGATATCGATTTCAAATTCAGTTTGAACTAATAATTGACATGAAGATTTACCGTTTTTAGCTGCAAATTCGCCCGATCCAAAGGGAAGAAAGAGAGACGGCGCGAGTTAAATGACATTGGGGGTTTTCAAAACAAGGTTTGGCTCCAAATGAAGCCCAACAAAAGAAAAGTCTAAATCCATTTTTATATTCCTTTTTTCTTTTTTTTCGCCCTTTTATGAATTTTCAATTTTGGAAGTTTTCTAAAGACCCACCCCTAAACTTTATATTTTTCTTTTTTTTATTCTTATTATCTTCTAACCCTACTTCATTTTCATCTTTAATTTTGTAAATATGAATAGTATTTCCTCTATTTTTTGTTATACTATTCATATTTTCAAAAATGAAGTTGAAGTTTCGGTTGCCAATTTTAGTTCCTTTCATTTTTATTTTACACATTTTTAGTTTGTTTTTATCTACTAATTATAATTTAAATGTAATATTTAATATTTATAATATCATGTTATATACTAATTTATATTAATTAATCGTAAATATAAAGTTTAATATTTATTTATCAAATTTATATAAAAAATTAAATATATAATAAATAATTGAAATACGGTAACATAACTTATAAAATATGGTAATCAAAGATGATCGTTATCTTGATATATTTATTATAAATATAATTTTATTTATTTAATAATTATTTATGATAAAGTAATAATTAATTTAAATTTATTATATATAAAAATTTTATTTATGATAATATAATTTATAATATTTTTGTAATGAAAAATATAATATATAATATTCATTAAAATCTAATTAGTAGATGGGTGTATTTGGCAATAAATATATATATATATATATATATATATATATATATATATATATATATATAAAAGTTATAAAAATAGAATATTCTAGGAATACACTTTCTTGAGTAAAAAAATAGTGTAGAAAAAAAAATTAAGATTGGAGATGAAACACTATTTACCTCATTTTTTACTCCATTTACGGAGGAAAAATGAAAATTGGTTGGAGATCATGTAATGGGTGAGTTATTTTCTTGACCAATAATATAAATAAAAGTAGATTACATGAATGATCTTTATGGTTTGGGGTAATCTATGAGCTTGGTCCCTAAAATGTATGTTTGTTGAGTGTTGGATCCCTGATAGACGTAAAATGACTAAAATACCATGAATTATTCGTTTTTATTATTTTTTATTTATTATTATATAAAATCAATATAAAAAATCCTAAACTTAGTCTAATCGTTCCCACCCTCTCTCACATTTTCTCTCATTGACATCTCTATTCTTCTTCCTTCATCGACCACCAACCCAACCACCATCCTCCACCCCAGCATTCGTTGCCCCCGCCACCATGTCCAATGATGGTGGTATTTCCTTCGTGTTCTTCCTTCAAGGCATATTGGCAACGTTCATCGGAGAAGGAGAAGGTGGAGCATGCTCTTGAACGTTGCCATTTCCCGTTGTCCCTTTTCTATTGTTGGTGCCCCAAACGAATCGTATATCACCGATTACATTTGATTTCCATTTCGATTCTCGGTTTGATTTTGGTTTAAGGTTTGATTTTGAGTTTCAAAGTCGATTTTGAGTTTGATTCTAATGTCGATTCAGAAACCCACTCACTTACTCACCTTTCATTCACCTTCAGGTGTATCACCCTTTCATCTTCCCTGTCGACACATGCACCCTCTCCCTTCACCAGAACCTGCATCACCCTCCCCCTTTCTTGGCCTACAACCCTGACATCGCAACACATTTCTGCTTTAATCATCTTCTATAGTGTTGTCGCCTATGACATCCCGTGATTTAGGTCTAAAATTGTGGACAGTCAATTCATAGTAAATCTCTTTGTAATTTGACTCATCTAGTTTTAGTGAATCTTTTGTAAAATAAATGTTTCATTCCCACTATTATAAGTTACCAGATGGTATCTTACTTCCATATATGTAAAATATAACATCCCCTCCAGCACGTATCATAATATAGTCTGCTTTGGGCTCCCAGCACGAAAACTTCCTAGGGGGTCACCCATCCCTGGATTGATCTCGCTCAGACACGCTTAACTTCAGAGTTCTTATAGGATCTGTTGCCCTCATGGATTTAAAACGTATTATGACAAGGAAGGTATCCACATCCCTTTTAATGAAATGATTCGTTCTCCTTCCAAGCCAATGCAGGATCAGGTGCAACCCACCTTCACCCCCCCCCCATTATAGGGTTTGATGTCCCCGTCGAACACATCGACCCGTGCCCCAACTCGGATACCATTGGTAACACCCCCTCTAGCACATATCACAATATTGTCCGCTTTGGGCTCCTGGTACGAAAACTTCCCAGGGGGTCACTAATCCCTAGATTGCTCTCGCCCCGACACGCTTAACTGCAGAGTTCTTATGGGATCTGTTGCAAACAAAATCCCAAACTATAAGCCCAAAGTTTAGTGAGTTCCCCCAAAATACCCGCACAACAAATAACACACATATAATAACAACATACTATGGGCCCAATCAACCATCGGGATGGAATGCCCCATGCCCTCAACAATCGGGTTGGAATGCCAACATACTATGGGTACAATCATCCTCGGGATAGTCTACCTACGGCCCACAACCATCGGGTTGGAATGCCTACATTGGTGACTTCGACCCTTGAGTATAGTGAGGAAGACTCGCCTCACAATGTCGAATTGTACTAAACTGAAAAAGATCAAACTCCTGAAGCATGGCTCCACACTTAAACACCTACAACCACCATTGATCCAATTCTGTAAATTCCCAAATTACTAAAATACCCTTAGAAGTCAAACTTGGTTAACCCCTGGTCAAAGTCAAAGTCAACAGTCCATGTTGACCCAACTCATCGAGTTCCCTCAAAACTCAAAAAGTTGAAAAAACCCTAGTCAACTCACCAAGTTACCAAGTGACTCGTCGAGTCCATGCAACGTCCAGAATATCGGGAAAAACCCTAACCAACTCGTCGAGTTATCTCACTAACTCGCCTAGTCCATGCAGAATCTAGAAAGCGGGAAACCCTCACCAAACTCATCGAGTTGACCATGGAACTCGTCGAGTTCCTTTAGTCCTTTCCTCAATTCAAATGTTTTTAAGCGAAACCAAGGCCCCAAACTATAGATCTAGGCTCTTAGGGTGTAGTTGTCACGTAAATTTGTTAACTTTATGTACATGCAAGGATTCAAGAAGCTAAAACACTCAAAACTAGCCTTAGAAAGGGGTTTAGGGCATGGAGAAGGGACAAGGCTTCATAAAGCTTGAGGCTTTATGTACATGATCCCCAGGGTTGCACCTCATCTTGCATCGACTTGGAAGAAGAACAAAATATTTCCTTAAAAGGGATGTGGATACCTTCCTTGTCATAACGCATTTTAAAGCCATAAGGGCAGTAGATCCCATAAGAACTTTGCAGTTAAGCATGCCCAGGCAAGATCAATCCAGGTATGGGTGACCCCCTCAAAAGTTTTTGTGTCGGGAGCCCAAAGCGGACAATATTGTGATACGTGCTAGAGGGGGTGTGACAAATGGTATCAGAGCTAGGGCACAGGTCAATGTGTTTGACAGGGATTTCAAACCCTATAATAGGGGGTGAAGGTGGGTTGCACGTGACCCCACATCGGCTTGGAAGGAGAACGAAGCATTTCGTTATAAAGGGTGTGGATACCTTCCTTGACACAACGCGTTTTAAAACCATGAGGGAAACAGATCCTATAAGAACTTTACAGTTAAGCGTGCCCGAGCAAGAGCAATCCAGGGATGGGTGAATGCTTCAGAAGTTTTCGTGTCAGGAGCCCAAAGCGTACAATATTGTGATACGTGCTAGAGGAGGTGTTACAAATGGTATCAAAGCTGGGCCACAATTCGACGTGTTCGACGGGGATGTCGAACCCTATAATGCGGGGGGGGGGGTGAAGGTGGGTTACACTTGATCCTGCATCGACTTGGAAGGAAAACGAAACATTTCCTTAAAAGGGACGTGGATACCTTCCTTGTCACAACGGGTTTTAAGGTCGTGAGGGCAGTAGATCCCATAAGAACTCTGCAGTTAAGCGTGCCCGGGCGAGAGCAAACCAGGATGGGTGATCCCCTGGGAAGTTTTCATGCCGGGAGCCCAAAGCGGACAATATTGTGATACGTACTAGAGGAGGATGTTACATAAACTATTAAATGAATCAAATAGCTTAAACTGCAGCGCCGGTTAATGCGTCTGAAAAACTAAAAATTCGTATTAAGTAGTTATGAGCGAAGCAAACATTCTAATCTCATAGTACATGTTGCCCTGTTTCCAAAAATATATAGAATGTCCAAAACAGAGTTCGTATGCAAAAGTTATGACATTTATAAGAAAACAAATCAGTAAAACACTGGTTTTCTTTAAACTGCTAAAATTGAATCGATCCATTAAGGCACTTGCTCAACTTAGATGGAAATTATGAGAGCATTTTTGGACTCGAGCTATGGTCTAATGTTTAGTTTCATAATCAAAATATTTTTAGTGAAAATATTTGCAAAAGTCAAAAAATTGAATGTTTCGGACCATTTAGATGTGAAAATTTAAATGCGGTGTGTAACAACGTGAATAGTTTTCAAAC